GACCTGGCCAACTAGGTCATCTAGTCATGCGCCCTGGAGATCTAGGGGCTATCTGCGGATCTTTCAAGTGGCTATAAAAAAAAGCCCTGCCTGTGACACACGCGTTTAGAGAGCGGAAGTCTCTATCCAAATAAACATTTGGATTTGGGTGGCCAGTGTTCAAACCCGGAGGTCTGGGGGTTTCTGAACTGAGGGAGGACAGCAGACACCAGAAGAGATAAAATTCCCACTTCTTGCCACCTTCCTCTCTCCAATCCCACATCTTCCTTATGTTGTTCCCATCTGTATTTTGTATTGTAACTTGACGTTTCTAGAGAGGACTCTGCCTGGGGTGTGCAGGCTGGTGCTCTTCCATGGGGCCACAACACAGTTCCCTCCACCACCCCTCCACACTTAGAAAGGCCTGGAAGGAGTTGGAGGATCCTCTACACAAGTTAATTTTATACCTAAATACAGGGTAAAAACAGCCATCATTTCCATACTGAAATGGGAAGAGGCCTGGGCCCAGGAGGAAGGAAGGGAGGGTTGCAGCCCAGTGTGAACTGCCCGGAGGAGACATCTTAAATAGTGATAAACACTGTCACTTCAAATACATCTCTCCTGTCCTTAACTGGTTTAGTCTAAGCCATTTCATGTAAAACCCATGAAGCAGAGGAAGCATGTTAAGAACATAAAATTTAAACCTCAATAATGAACAGATTTCCTAGAACAAAATGCCGATTAAAGAACAAAATCTCGGAGAAACCCAGGCTTGCTGGAGTTTACATTCCCTTGAGCTAGAGCAGGGGTGAGACCTAAGAGTTTGGAGCAGGAAAGGCACCCTCGGCCCAGACAGAGACAGTCACCATAGAGGGATAAAGAAAGGACCCATGGCACTTGAGGTTATATATTTCTGGTCAACCAAGGAGAGCCTGGGCTAATTTAGAATCATTGACACGAACCATACCATTTCTTCCCATTAAAAAAATCAAGATTTTTGTTTATAGGGAGAGAAAGTCAGTAAAGTTCACCATCATAAGCAGGAACCTCAGAGAGAAAAAGAAGCCACCCTAACTAAGCAAGGCTGCATTTGTTTCAGAGACAAACATAACTTTCCTTTTAAACCATGTCTGTTAACCAGAAATTAAGAAATTCCTACCAGGGATAAAGAATTTGACATATTGTGTTATCACATGCATTTTTACCTAAGAGATTTGTATAAATCTATGATTAAAACAAAGCTCAAAGAAATTTTGAGATAATGTAGTGGAAGGAACACTGAATTTGAAGGCCCAGGCTACAGACCAGCTTGGTCATTTGCCCTGTCTGACTTCTAGCAAGTCATCTGGTTTCTCTGGGCCTCAGTTTCCTAACTTCTAAAGGGGGGGGGGGTGATGGTACCTAGACCACATGGTGGAGACCTGATTTGAGTGGAATAGCTCATACCTATGAAGTCTATAACAAACAGATGCAAAGCTTTTGTAATTCAAGACCTGGGTGGTCTCTGCCAGGGGAACATTTTCCATAAGCAGAAGTAGAATCTCCAAGAAAGAGTTTTGGAGAGTCGCCCCTTCCTGCTCAGATACCTTAAGAATGCCCCTAACGTCCATTATCTTTCTGGAGTTCAGAAGCTACGGGGGCAGTAGACCCTGGAGACAGAGAACCCTGTAAGTTAGCAGACCTCCTAGCTTTAAACCCTCTCCAATACTTACCTGGCTGGGCCACCCGATAACACTCACCAAACTATAAGTGGAATTTCTTGCAAATTTAGGTAAAATGAATACCTTTGTCACTTGGATGGAGAAGTAAGCCTTTACAAAATCTCTCATAATTTAGATCGCTGAATTGGTAGAAGCCAAAAATACATCAACTACAGGTTTTTTTAATGAGTTTTTGTGGACCCCCTGAACTGGAAATATTTTTCTAGAGACAGGTTCCCTATCTTCCATCGCATTCTGAAAGAGACCCATGATCCCAATACTAGAAGTTACTGGTGTAGAAGGTTATTACTGATCCTGCCTGGGTTTTAAGTCAGTGTTTTTTATTCTTCAGTCTCTGGGTCCTAAAACCTTATAGAACCTGCTCTTAAAGCAAGTACTCCCTGATATCCTACATGCATAGAATTTTCAGGTGCAGAAAATCAGAGAGAGGCAATGATACTGACTTGCTTGTTAAATACCCCCCAAACCCAGGGGATCACCACTTCCACCTACAAATGATATATGGTTGTCTCCCTTCCCCCTAAGCTTCTCCTCAGGGCAGATGCTCTTCTCACTTAAATCTCTCTCTCTCTCTCTCTCTCTCTCTCACACACACTGAATTCTGTGGAATTCCTATATTATCTGGCCTCTCCACTCCAGTTTCTACTTTATTTAAATTTAAACCAACTAAAGCATTGGTTTAGTGAATGCATTATATTTATTTCTATATTTAGTTATTTATTTTTAAATTAACCCACATAAACTGGCAAATGGAGGCAAGAGAAAAAAAATGCCATGAAACAAATTGGGACCTATCCCCAAAAGCTGCTCACTAGTCAGTCAGAAAGAAATTCTTAGAAAGTGGAAACAACTGCAAGCACCCTACCCCAACCCAATCAAAACATCCCATCCGGAAAAGAGTGACTTGTTTCTTTTTTCTATTGGAAATGAGTGGTAAACTGAGTTCGGCTTGGCGGTGTTTTCTTAGCTGACTCTCAGCTACAATCAAGCCATTTTCGGACACATTCCCATGTAGGTACCAGGGGTGCTCTGGAGGAAGCTGTCGACGCCTGTTCAGCTAATTTAGGTTTGCTTTGTCTAATTACTGTGGAGCTTAGGGAAAAGGAGCCGGCTCAGGGCAGTAAACTGACACTCGGCCTCTGTGTGTGGTATCCAGGCAGGGTTTGATGGAAAAAGCCTGCTTCCACTCAACTTCAGGTCACTGTCTGGGGCCAGCCCGGCCCAGCTCCCCTCCCATCTCCCCCTCCCAACCCCGCCCTCTCCTCTGTGCCTACAGACCCTCCAGCTCACTCAGCCATGCTCAGTCCCTGGAGCACTGGGGGGCACAGAAAGCCAATGCCTGCCTCAAGGGCCTGCCTCAACTCTGTTGCACCAAGGTTCTTTGCTTCTTGCCTCCCTCCAGATCCCTGCACAATCTCCCCATGTTCCCAGGCTCCCAGGCACACACACTCTGCCACCCTGGTCCTTTCAGGGAGACACAGCGGAGCACCCAGGTCTGCCTCCTTTGGTCCTTTGGTCTGCAGAACCTCCTCTCCCAGTCTCCTCTCAGCCCTTGTGTGGCCCAGCCAGGCCTAGCCTTCTGCTCTCCTCCCCTACCTCAGCCCCTGTCCCTGGTCAGACTACATTTCCCCCCACGTGTAATCCAATAACTAACTGTCGGGTCTCATTGGAAATGATTTCTCCCCAGGGCACCTCTCTCTCAAAGCCTGACTCTTTCTTAGAGAAGAATTAGCCACACTGGGCGAAGTGTTCTCAGACATAAGTTAGCTTAAAGATGGTACATTTTTTGGTGGGCAACGTTGAGGCTGACGATGTAAAGCCTAGTGACAGCTGCATACCCCTTCCTGATTGAATATAAATACAGCTATCTCGCTTATCTTAGGGTCGGCCTTCTTTTTGCATTTTTTTTTTTACAACACAAGAAGTGAAAAGCGAAAAGGAACTGGAAGCAAATGCAAACCTGAGTCCTATGTGACCCAGGTTTCCAGAGTCTGTAAAAAACGCGGCCTAGGTTTCTTCGGTCCAAATCCCTCTGCTCAAAGTTCCAAAGACGTCCATGATCGCCTGGCGACCCTTAACCCTGAGGCGCCCCGACCCTCTCCCTTAAATAACAGTTGTCTCGAAACCTGCAGGCCCTGCCAGAAAGAGAGAGGATTGGCACGTTACCTTTGGGCGTCTGGCACCCCGGCGTGTGGCTGAGGGCGGCAATGTCTAAACGAAGTTGACAGATAGTCAGTACGGCCATTGGGGGAAGGCGGCTTAGGAGGCTCGGGTGGCGGCACCGCCAAAGCACCGCTGGGGCCTGGGCTGGGCCAAGAGGAGGGAGGGAGTAAGGGGGAGGGCAAGGGGGAGGGGAAGAGGCGGGAGAGCTGGAGAAGCAGAGGAGGGTCCACTCGGCAGGGGGCCGCCGGTTTCTGGGACTAGGAGCACGGGTTGCTGCTAAGCTCAAAAAGAAAGAATTCAAAGTCAGAGGTGGTAGAGTTTTGCTAGAGGTGGGAGTCCTTTGCCAAAGGAGAGTTAGTCTGCGATCTCTCTCGGTTTGAAAGACGGTGGGTGGGGAAAAGGGAAGGAGGACGAGAAAGGAATTAAAAGGCCGAGGGGACCCTGAGAGTAAGGACCGCGATAAGAGGGGAGCCAGCCGCCAGGTTGGGAGGGGAGGAGGAGTGAGCGTAGCGGCCGAGTGGCCCTCCCCGCCGCAGTACAGCCCGAGGAGGGGGCAGGGCGGGGGAGGGGTGGAGGGAGGGAGCGAGGGAGGGCGGCCGGGGGAGGGCGCGGGAGGGAGGAAGTCCGAGAGACAGAGCGAGGAGCGCTCCTGAAGGGAGACGTCGGGCTCGTCCCCGAGGTCCGGGCCGCGGTCCCAGCTCGCGGACAAAGTTGCCCAGCCTCCGGCTGCCTCGGCTCCGTGGCCTGGGAGGCCGTTGCGCAAGGCGGCCGCCGGAGGCTCGGGGAGTGATGCACCGGGCGTTGCCTCCGGCCCGCCGCCACCGCCGCCACCAGAAGTCCCAGAGGAGCTGAGGGAGGCGACGCCGAAGCGCTGGCCCGGAGTGGCCACGGCTGCAGCCCCGGCGGCGGGCTAGGGCGCTCGTCCGGCTTCTGGGCCGACCCCGCTCCGCCGCCTCCGCTCCCGGCCCGGGGCCC